ATGGGCCAAGCGGGACACAAAGCGAGACGGCACCGATCCGCCGTTAAATCATGCAGAAAAAGAACAAACGAACGAAGCTCAGGCGTCCAGGATTGCGTAAACCAGTCGTTAACTCCAAACAAGAATGGGAAAATCCTGATGCAGAAAGAAACCCAAGATGACCAGCAGCGTTTCGCGGTAGAAGGTCCGTCTTCGTTTGTCGAAATGTCTAATTGTGAATACGGACTGCATGAAAGTGATGACGAGTCAACGATGACAGCAGAACCAGGTTCAAGTCTCAGCGTCGATGGTCTTAAGCCTGCCTGGTTCGATTCTGCACGAACTGAAGTTACACTTGGAGCTGACTCTGAACAGGACGTCTCAACAAGAAGCCCTGACAAACGACAGTTTCAGGATATTTGGAGCACGAATGTAGATTTTAGTTCTATTCGCTGTTCATTCACAATGTCATCCGCGAGTGAGAATCAGTCCGTCGGGGAATCGACACTGTCGGAGGAGAACAAGAAACAGACCGCAGAAGACAGGCCAGAAAACGATCAAAAAGTAGTAAATGTGGAAAGTTGTTGGGTTATGGAATTCGGACAAAAAGAACAAGTGGGTGTGTCTGACTGGGATGCGTCTCGGATCCCGGTATCAGACGATTTTGTTTCCGATACTGCAGAAGAGAAGAATTGTTATTTTCAATTTGTAGGGGTTGATGATGATTTTGGTGCATTGCCCGCTATGTATTTCAAAGACGATTATGATGAGGAGAAAGTCAGTGCTGGAAACAGTGCGAAAATTAGCTTCACAAATGAAGAGAATAGGGAAGCAACTCCTATCTCTACAGAGATTATGGAAGTTTGCGAGAAAGGTAAAACAGGTGAAATGGCACAGAAAACTCTTATAAAAAAATGCTTTGAAAAAATTGATGATCGAATGACGGTTGATAAAAGGGACGATGGTATAGAGAGTTTGGATAGGTCGAGTCTGGATATGGAAGAAAGTTTAGAAGTGGACACGGAAGGCGAGAGTCCAGCCAACAGCATGGTCAAGCGAGTGTGTAGCACAGTCAAGAAAATGGGCTTTATCGGCACCTTCATGCAACAGTGGAGCCGAGATGTGGAAAATATAGACGAAGAAGTAGATCAGGTGAGAAAAATAAAAGAAAGAAAAGAGTTAAAATGGCTGAAAGAAAGATAAAAAAGACAAAGAAAAGAATAAGAAGCAATGTTTATATATATATATATATATATATATATATATATATATATATATATAGCATGTTTCGTTTTTATTTAAATAACATCAGAATCTTTTGGGAAGTTTCCGACATTTTAGTTGTGCTGGTGGTTTTTATTGGTTAGGAATACCTCACGTGTCTTTATTTTGCGGTGTTAATGCGAGTGTGTGTGTGCGCGCGCAAGCGCATGTATACGTTTAAATTGAAAAATGACCACTGGAATCCAAACTTACGCACGGTACACACACCTTACAGAGAGAGAGAGAGTGAGTGTGTGTGTGTGTGTGTGTGTAACTTACAATAAACACAAGGGGAGGTCTATCTGAGCAATGAAAACAAATACAGAACTAAAAGTACAGTTTCTCTTTATTTCATTTCCCAAAAAATTCTGATGAAGCTTAAATAAAAGCGAAACATGTTAAATTTATAAACGTATCTTATTTGTACCTTATCCTAGATCCAGATCTCTCTCTCTCTCTCTCTCTCTCTCTGTATATATATATATATATATATATATATATATATATATAGAAAGAGAGTTCCATAATATCTTCTAAGTTTTTGCCGGAATAATTTGTATATATGTGTATCAATATTTATTAAAGGCTAATGATGAAACAAAAACATATGGTTAAAACCAATTTCCTTAATTCAGTGGTGATTATTGATCACATAGATCGAACATAGGTATGCTTAGTACATAATACTTCTATGTATATATGTTTGTATCTCTAGTACAGCATAATCCTTATATGATATATATATATATATATATATATATATATATATATATAATATTGTGTATTTCGGTAGCAATCCCTCTTTTTATAAGTTTCATTAAAGACGATTGACAAGGTACTACGATTAAGATTGTTATTCAGTTTTTACGGACATAATGTGCATAAAAGGAATCGATCATAATCGGGATCATCGAGCTTATAAACAACGGTTAACAATCCTTTCTCCTTATTGGAAATTTGGTATGTGCTTTGCATACGAAAAACAAAATTCAAATTTTCCTTCACGCAGGCAGACACTCTATTCTCTAACATGGGGGATAACGATATATATTTTTTCCCAAAGCAGTATTGTGAGACAAATTGAAATGTTTTATACACCACACACACAGACAGACAGACACACACAAACACACATATATATGAAAATATATGAGATGAAAATATCGATTAAATCAGTCAGAATAATAGATTGTTCCTTATTCAATCACATACACACATTCTATATATCTGGCATATGTTTCTGTCATGTTCATTTTTATTGACATGTTGATTTTTAGTACAGCTATGACAGATATTATTATTATACTTCTTAAGTTGCCAGAAATTTCTTTTATTGTAGCTATCAGTCGTGCGAACGTGACTCGTGATTTTAATACCATCTAGTCTGAACAGCAAGTGAACATGAAAACTTCACAGATGGCGTATACATCATTTTTGTGCCTTTCATTTCATCTGCATTTACAATCGTAAAAATTCCCGAAGTTACAAAGTTACTATTCAAAACACTGAATAAGAGAGTAATTAATAAAAGATATGTTGCGTAATTAAATTAATTATGAAAACTATGAATATTTAGAAGAATCTATCTACATGTTTCCGATTTTTGAAATCCTAAAAGGCATCTTTTGGGCCGATGTAGCGAAGATCAGTTAGGAAAATAATATATTTTTAATGCGAAGAGTTTTTTAAACAATAATTTCTTAATGAATTTTATTCAAAATAATGAGCGTTTTGACTCATTCTAACTTTTAAATAATACAAAATCACAGACTAGTTAGACAAATTAGGGTGCAAACCCCTGCACAACGAGAGAGCTACTTGTGAAAAAAGGTTGTATGTCAGATAAGTTTATTTTGTTGCTCTTTTATTTATATTAGCCAGGCTGACATAAATCGGGTGCTTTCCTTTGGATAAATAAGCGAAACTATTAAAAGTGGAATCGGTGTGCCCAATTAAAATTTCGGCTTAGTCTGCTGTACTCAATTTCGCACTAATTCATATGGGAAAGACATTTAATCCAATAATTCTCTCCTAGCTTTTTTTAAATTTTAAAGGCAGGCCTGAGGATTCTTTACACTGGTTACAAAAGTCTAAAAAAAAATACACTCGATTCCAAATCATGAAGAAGGCAGCAAGAAACCATTCCACTTTCCGAAGAAGCCAAGACAATTCAGTCAGTCAGTTGTTACGTGATACACTATAAAACGATCTTATCTTTCAAAATGTGACTAACGAGGCAGATTTTTTTTTTTTCCGTCATGAGTTGCTAATTTTCTTTCTTAAGTTAACCAGTTACCATCAAGGCTATAAATCCGGTCTGTCCAGCTATATTTACCCATAGCTGGGGGGAGAAGAAATTCATACCTTTTCCCAAAGTATGCGTGAAATGAATGTAATTACAATTCCAGATAGTAAAATTTAAATAAAACTATATTTGCTAAATTAATCAACTACGTTTTGATATAGCATGGCATTTTTAAGAAGTAGATCTGCCACTGCTTCGATAAGAGTGAAATATATTGTTTTGGCAGGCCCTTCTTGGCGTGTTGGGGATAGGAGAGATAATTACGTATTTATTACCGACGCTAGTTGTTAGTATTCAAGTTCAAACAAAAAGTTAAGATTTCTGGTTTTCAAGTCAGGCAGGCTCAGCTCGCTTGGAAAATTTGCTCAATAGTCTTCCTACTCCTTCATTTTTAGCCTTTTGCCAAACAAAATTAAGCAAAGTTGATACTGTTAGTGTTAAGTGGGCCGCAGCTCTTTCGCCTAATCTACCCCTTTTTGAAGTAACGCAGTCTCGATTTGAGAATTCCTTGAAAGATAGTCGATATAACATCACTTAATAACCCTTGGAGATCTGATCAGCAGAACATTAAAAAGGAAATAAAATTTGAGAAAATAAATTTGAATACATTAAAAAAAATCTCTCACCCAAAATATTTAGACAGTATGTGGAGCAAAATTTGTCTTTATCATTCATTTAGGAATAGATTTTCGGTTATATTTACCAAAATGAATATTTATTTACGTCAGTTATAAAAAGTTTGAATTACATCTTCTAAAAAAAATGTAATTCAAACAAATGTTCTCTTTCCGGAAGTCTTTGCCTCTTTATTTTTTGACCAATCGATGTCTTTTTTCATTCAAATATCCCTGTGCTCTTAATAATAATAATAATAATAATAATAATAATAATAATAAAACACTTTTGACGAGTTTAACACACCAATATTATTAAAAAATATATATAAATGTCTAATTCAACTAAACGACTGTTCTGATAAAATGTAATAAAAATTCAAAGATAAAGCGACAACTTTCCAGTTAAATTGTAATACATATTTAAAGAAACTTTTATATTCAGTTAAAAAAGTTTAATCAGCAAGTAAAAAACAACAACACTTCAATATCATATTTAAAAAAAGGTATTTGTTAAAAATTGTGGTCTAAAGTTACATACATTAATTATCATTCATCGTTTGTAAAATAAATGTTAATTAAATTCTTTTTAATTTTTATTCCATGAAATATCCCAATAACAAATTATCTATTATTGAAAAGTAGTAAAAACGGTGACAGATTTTAAACTTTAAAGCAACAGCAATCTTGTTAAAATGTAATCAAATTTCAAAGAAAATTTTTATTTTTTTAACGCATCAGTACCTGAAAAAGTTTGTTGTGCTACAACTGAAACAGTAGTAGTAATATTAGTAGCAGCATCCACTTGCACACAGGCACATGTTTTACTTCCTTCCTCTGTCTCCTTTAGTGTAACAGAAAACCAATTAAATTGAAGTGAATTTAACCTCATATTTATACAGTAAAACATTGGTTAATGAATACATTTGCCTACCTCACAAGTTCGGAATGCAACAGGCTTTCCTTAATTTTATTATGTTAGCCTACATTAAAGGCTATATCTGTTTTTTTTTTTTAAACATGGCAGAAAAAAAACAAAACTATTTTTTTTTAAATGTAATAGCAGGTTTTATATTTATTTATCTTATTTTATTTCATTTTGATTTTTTAAACAGCGACAAAAGAAAAAGACTTTTATTAACCCTAAAGTTGTTCTGGGTACCTCGCCCCCAACAGCCGGCACCTTCACTATGAAATCTTTGGTCGGCGCTGTACTAGCAGAAGCCTCTTCCGTTGAGCAGGACGTCCATCCATATGGCCGGGGTAATATGTATACAAATGCGTTTGCAGGAAAGAGGTCACTTCCTGCGCTCGACCAAACAACATATGTTCTGGGGGCATCGTTCTCATCTTTTCGAGTTACAGGCGCATTTTTCCATTGAATGCATCATCTAATCGGGTGAATTTTATTCATTCAAAAAGGTTCCTGCGCGCCTTTTCTTTACAACTCTCATATTTACTTCTTTTCTTCCTTTAAAGTTTTCCTTTTCTTTCGTACTTTTTTTCATTGTCATTCTCTTTACTCTCTTAAATAAATTTACCTCCTCCTTTTGATCTGTTATCACTAAATCATCATTTTTTTTCTCTGTACTTTCTCTACTTTTTGATTCACAAAAACATAGATCGTTGCTGGGCACCTCAAGGCTGATGTAATTAGAATCATATATTGGGATAAAAACAGTTTTGAACAGAAAGTTCGATCCTCCTGGATGTTCCTACTTTCGGCCAAAAGATAAGCCTTTACAAGTCCACGCTTGATGAAAATTAATCAACAGATCTTTGTTTTAACCTGAATCCTTTTTTCAAAATTAAAGACTAAATAAACACTCGAAGACTTATATTAGTTTTAAGGTATGCTATATTTATGGGTAAAGTGCTTGATATCAGGGACAGAGCGTAAATATAAAAGCGGGCAGAGGTGAACACCGAGCGGCGACAGTCTGTTTCATGGATAAATATTGCGTTCAAGTATGAAACAGACTGTCACTGCTCGGTGCTGACCTCAGTGTCTACTTTATATATATATATATATATATATATATATATATTCTTTTGGATAATATGCACAAGCTCCATCGTCAATGGCCGTCACACAAGAACAGTGTCAAAAAGCGCAATGGATTCAAGAAAGACAGAAACCTATGCCAATTTCAAGTACGGCAAATGAAACAAACATGGTGGTAGCGATAGAAGGCACAGGAATTGCAGGATTCTACTGATAGATTATGACTTTAAGTCACATCTAAGAGGTGTCTTTGGACTTGTCAAGTGGCTCAATTTTCTTCCGATAGCAACCTAACGGACAAAAAGGAGAATGCTAGCCAGAACATTTCTCAAATGTTTTAAACTTGAAGTCGAATGTTGACGAAGATTCTGTCAACAACTTAAAACAGAGGCCTATTCTTGAAGGGCTATCAGCTACTCCATCTATTGCTGAGATAAATAGGGCCATAAAACAACTGATAAACTGGATGTCCTTTGGTAACAATGACATACCTATTAGCAGAGATATACAAATGTGGCAGTCGTCTCTTAGTTCATAAACTTTGTGATCTTTTTTCTTTAATCCTGGATTCAGGATTAGTTCCTCGGGAGTTTAAAGACGCTTCTATTGCTCATCTCTATAAGCACAAAATCAATAAATGCGAATGTAATAACTATTCTGGCAGAATTAACTTGAACGGACAACTCTTCTTTGGCCGATTCAGTCTTGTCGGAATCTCAGTGTTTTTTCCGTTTGATATGAGCACGGTGGGCATGATTTTCAGATTGAGACAACTACAGGAGAAAGAACGAGAACATAAGGATTTATTTGTTACTTTCGTTGATCTCACTAAGGCCTTTGATACCACTTCAAGGGATGCTCTTTGGGGCGTCATTAGGAAGCTGAGTGTTCCTGACAGATGCTCAGTGTCATCATGTCTTTCCATCTGGCCTCAGTTAGATCCAGTGGAAAGGTGTAAAAACTTTATGCTTAACCTCTAGACTGTTCACCACCTTAAAATTTATCTCCACTGAATGAGATATGAAGAATTATTTTTCTTCATATCTCATTCTCTGATGCTTTATTAAAAGTGAAACATGTTAGATTGATAAATATTTCCTATTTGTTCTTTATATTATCATTCTGTTGGATTAGTACTGCCTTGGTTCAAGAAGGTGGCTACTGGAAGACCCTATGGCTAGCAACAGGACTCTGCACTATGCCACACAAGCAGGAGAACACAGACATGGCTGTCAGACAATTTCTGCGTCCACATCACTTTTTACATCTGCCCACCTAACTTCCCAGACTGCAACCCCTTGATTATTATGTGTGGGGAGCAATTATTTTAATAGAGAGCTGAAAACATTTTAAAAATCTGATTTTTGCCTGAATTTTGGGAAGTGGGGTGGACTCATAATTTATCAGCACTTTTTCATAACGTCCACAATAATTTATGCATATTTTGAATTACTGTTCTTTCTTCTTTTTAGAAATTCACCGGGGATCACTGAGACGTCTGCTCAGACGATACAATGGCTCGTTCCCAGACTGGTATTAAAATATCAGATTATTTAAACAAAGGACCGCCACAGACTGAACGTTCCTAGATCCAGTGGTTACTGTTTTTTTTTTGTTTTTAAAAAAAAAAAAAAAATATTCAATCTTATTTTCTTGTATGTTTTGTCTACACGCTATAGTGTCCAGTCACTGAAAAAATGACTTAAAAATACGCCAAGGATTATTAACACATTACAAAACTACAATAAAAGGGACATTCAGTGAAAATTGAACTCACTACAAATGCGAAATGACGTGCGTCACGGGCTTGAACCTTAAAGTACAAACTAACACACAAGAATGAATGCATAAAAATACATTTTCGGGTGTGAGAATGTTAAATAATCTTATTTCCGAAAATTGTGCATCTTAAAAAAAAGAAATTAAAAAAATTATTTATGCTTTGCGGTTGACATCATCTGTTTTACATCTAAGTTAAAGTTGGAGTCTAAACACTGGCAGAAATTGCCTATATTACGATTTAGTTAAAGAGGAACACTTCTTCAGGGTTGCGTACATTTATTTTGTGGCTGAGATTGATTTCTATCAAGAAGACCAGAGAATCTTTTGGAGTGACAAGATGCAAAACGGGTATCCTAACTGAATAAGATATACCCCTTTTGCATCCATTTGACTATTTTAAACACAAATGTTCTAACAGAAGGAAAGAAACCATTTTAACAGCTATTTCACATGGACACCTGAACAAAGTATATATTCTATCCCTGTAGTTGAAATCGCTAGAATTACTGTCATGCACCTGGTACATTTATCAGAAGGTTTCTCCTGTTTCCTGTGGCAGGAGATTTTTTCAGCTTTTGAGTGATAACATTTGTTCATCCCAGGTTGGGTCAAGTAAAGGAGAAGTTGGTGTTACTTTTAATTTTCCCGCTAACTCTTTTTTAAAAATCATTTCACCCCAAGCAAAGCAGTAAAGCCACTAAAACGCAAGGGGAGAAAGAATATGAGAAAAAGCAAAACGTTATTAAGGAGAGAGAACAATAAAAGAAGAGGAACTAAGAAAACGGAAAATAATGATCGACATTGCATTTAAAGTTTTGAAGATCAAACTTGACTGGAAAGCAAGAGGCCAGAAGAAAAATCCACAAGTGGGATGTGCGAGAAAAGAAACTGTTAGCATATAACTTACGGTTGCATTTAAAACTGTAAAATGATGAGACCAAGCTGCCAATCTAGTACTGTGCTTAAATTTGTAAAGTTAATGTATTAAAGAGAAAACTCATCAAAACAATTATAAAGAAAATATTTATAAAAAAAAAAAGGCACAGAAAAGCTACGTCACAGCAGTGACTGAAGCCAAGATGCCAGGTCAGGACCACTAACATTGCAGATTCTTCTTTGTATTTTATCAAAAAACTCTAAATACATAGCAGAAGCATCAGACCAAGTGTGGCAACAATATCCAATACATAGACAAATGATAGACTTGTGTAAGATAGATTCTGGTGAGAAATCTTCTAAGGAATATAAAGCTCTTTTGCACACATGTACAAATAAAAGAAAAAGATTCTGGTCAACTTTTAAAGGAATCTCAGATACGGCCTTTTCTTTAAGCCTGACAGATACGCTTAGCCTTAACACTGAAATCTACAGCAAGATGGTGTACTGTAGATTTTTAATATTTGTATCGCAACCCTAATTCTTATAACATTCAAATGCGTTATTGTTCTTAACCATTTAACTGCAACTGAATTCTTAATTTGTATAGGACTGCAGTGATTATAAACAAAACACACAGAAAATTACAGTGAGAAAATTGCATTAAATCACTGTAATGAAAAATAAGTTGTCATTAAAGATAACAACTTATTTCACAAGATGTTTAGAAAGTGGGTTTAGAGATTATTTCAAGTTGCTTTTCGGACTTCCTTCAATTTTCGTGTAATATTTTGGAAGATCAATTTAAGTCCAAGCAAACTCTTGATTAACAAACAAGGGAAAAACAAAAGTGAAAGATCAACTTGATGAGCTGCCTACTAAAACTAAACAGTTCAAAATAAAAGCATTTTAAGCATAACAAAACACATTACAAAAAATAAAACAAGCCAAGTCTATTCAGTCCTATCTCACAGGTTTCAAACATGAGATAAGAAATCAGTTATATTTGAGTCTCCAGTTGGAAGACCAAATACTGGAAAAGAATGAGTAAATGTTCAAAATTCAGATTATCAAAATAAAAAAAAAAAAAAAAAAAAAAAACAGATCAATCATTGGATCGGATAATAAGAAATCACAAAAAATAGCCAAATAAATGGGAACAAACGTCATTGGCAATGGATCCTTATTATGTGACTAATATGGAAGCAAATCAACAAACAAAATAATAAAAAAATTAAATTATTTACAAAAAGCTACTAATCACTTTAGAAAAACAAAAAAGGAAAACTTTTCTGACCTTTACTGGAAAAAAAAAAACAAAAAAAAAATTATTTTTCAATTCTTAACACAAAAAATTGAGAACATGGTCTAGATGCTATTATACAAGACTTGTATTATGACTGATTATACATTTAGATGAAAATATAGGATTATACAAATGCAAAATAATCACAAATGACTGTAGATGGTTACACAGCAATGCTGAAACTAAATAAACCAGTCAACCTTTGCCTTTAATACAAAGTAAAAAACGTATATATCAAATAACCTTTTAGTTTCATGTGTCCCATACTACTGGTTCACAAACACATTTGACACACACATACATACACACTGAGTAAAAAATAAATTCTCGCACAAAATTGTGATTTCAGCAGAAGCAATGAACTAAAACTAAACTGTTAAAAACAAAATAAAAAATATGAATTGTAACTAACATCTAAAGTGAACTTCATATTGTTGGCATAACAGCCATTATGTTTTGACAAAAACTTTTTGCTTCTCAATTGAAAAAAAAGAAAAAAAAACATCCCAATATATATCATCAAATTTCATAAGAGTACAAGTGTGTACATAAATATATTTTATAAATAATAAAAAAACAAAATAA